GGGCGTGGGCGCGGGCGCGGGCGCGGGCGGGTGGGCGCCGGGCTCTCCCCGGCTGGCCCGGGCCTCGGTCTTGGCCGCGGCCGCTCGCTGCTCCGCGGGGCTGCGCTGCCTCGGCTCGGCTCGGCTCCGGCCCCTCCGGGCGCCTTTGTCCTGCGGTCGCTCCGGCGCGCTCGCTCGCTCGCTCGCTCTGCTTCGCCGCGCCGGCTTCCCGGGCCGGGCCGGGCCGGGCCGTGCGCGAAGGCGCAGCTTTATGCGGCGGCGATTGTGCCCATGCTCGCGGGACTTGCTCTGCCCGAGCAGGCGGGGAGTGGACCGTCCGCAGCGGGATGATGCGGCCCGTGCCAGCCTTCTCCCCCCGGCGCCCCGCGTGTGGGGGGCCGCAGCTCCCCCTGCGCGGCGACGGGTGCCGGAAGGCCGGGTCGGAGCGACGCCGGGGAGCGCCGGGTGCAGAGCCTCCGTTCAGCCGTCGAGCTTGCTGGGCCGGGCCCTGACTCGGCCCGACGTACCTCACGGGGTGCTGGGAGGGTAAAGTAAGGTCAACATGTGCCATTTTGGGGGCCCCGGTGGTGTGGGGAGGAAGGTAGACTTCAAATATAACAGATTCATTAATAAACTCCCATCATCCCCAGCCAGCATGTAGTGCTGCGATAGTCAGTCCAAAACCGTTGGCAAGCTCCAGGTTGGGGAATCCTGACCAAGTCATCAGATGCATTTAATGAGAGGACGATATCCTCAAAAGCTTGTGCTAGGGGGGATTTTTGCGTTTTCATGGTGTCGCAAGGCTTGTGGCATGTTTAAAAAGAAGGTGGGATGTTTTGGTTTTCTCAGCTGAATTCTGCCGTATCTAATATAGCAACCTCATGAACTTACCCTTCACACGGTTCTCCCTCAACCTCCTGTTGCCGTCCCTTCTTCCCAGGAGCTGTCCCTTCTCCTCCAAGGCGCAGGTCTGAGCGGAATGTGGCTCCTACAATGCAAACTCAGCCCCTGGCCCAGTGGAAACCAGCCGCGGTGGCAAGCAAAAGCACGGGCATCCCAGTGAGTAGAAAAGCTTGTGACATTGTCCTTCTGGGAATGAACAAGACTTGGAGCTCTTGAGCGTTACAGCTGTGCTGAGAGGCACCTGTGAAATAAGATTCCGTGCTGCCTTTATGGAATTTGCAGTTTTCCACACTGCAGGATGTGGCCTTGAGCACATACCTTTTTGTGTGTGATCTTCCTACAAGTCCTTCGTATCCCTTTATCCAGCCCAGGGCTGAAGAGTCTCTGCCCAGGGGCTAATTCTGGTCCTGCTGATCTTGAGCTGGTCCCTTGATATTCCCTGGATGGCCCGCATCCTTTCCCTCAGCCACAGATCTTTGGGTAGTTTCCTGGCTGTTATCTAGTTTCCCCCTGCAAAAGGTTGAAATCTTTCCCCTGCAGCTTGGCTACTGGCAGCTTGAAGCTTAAATAAGCTGGCCGGGTTTTGTGCTGTTGCCCCACCTTCTTTCCTTCTAGCCCACTGCAGCAGTGGGTTGCAGCCCGGAGCGCTGTTTCAAAATGGAATTGAGCCTGTGGCTGGAAGAGGTTCGCTGCCCCAGGACCAGTCCCCAGCCAGTGGCCCAGCTTCTGGATGACAACCCACGCTGCGAGAGAGGGAAGCGTTTGGGAATCGCTGGATACTTCATGCAGCACTGAAGCAGTTTACTCTGTGTAGAGCACCATGACTGGAGGGAGCTCACCGGCATTCCAGACAAGAAATCCTCCTGCTTCTCCCAAGCTGACCTCAGCTTAGTTGCATTTGGAGTAGAGTTGTGGACTGACGTACTGGTGCTAGCGTTGTTAAATACCGGGGGTGCCAAAAACTTGTATACACCGCAGTTCGCTGTAATCAGAAGTGGCTGGACATTGATGGTAACCTCTTTGAACACCTCTTGTAATCGCAGAAGCCAAACATGTCTTGCATTCATCTTTTTTTATCAGTACATATTGAGTATTACAATTTGAATACAGTGTTTTCCTTTCTTAAAATGTGTGTACGTTTTTTGGTACTCTCTGTAGTTGGGAGTCAGACAGCCTTGCCAAAATTTACCCAGATACCATAATTAACCCTCCTTGGTAAAATTCATCTTGCTGGAATTCTCTCTCCAAACTCACCTGAACTATTTTCTCTCCGCTTTGCAGCGTCCAGGTCCTTTGGTGATGCGGCCTATAACCCTGAAAAAGATTCTGCCACGAAATCGGCAGGTACGTGGAGCTCCGGCAGCTTCAAAGCGGTTCAGCAATAGAGCGAAGCCTCTTACCTGGGGACGTTGTGGGCTCTCCTTCACTGGAGGCATTCAGGAAGCATCTGGACAGTCCTTTGAGAGGAATGGCATAGAACCTTAAGCACTGAAGTAATGTAAACTTTGAACCAGGTCCCTAATTTTCCTTCTGGGATGCCTCCTGGTCATTGTGGTGTAAAACCGAAACGGGAAAATATCCTTTGTCTTTGGGAACTGGAAATTCCAGCTTTGGGCGAGTGTAGGAGGCCTTCTCTAGCTGTGCAGGCAGAGCGCTGGGTTGTTGGCACGTGTCCCTTTGGAAGCGCCATTGTTCCTCTTCGCTTATGCAGGAGTCGCTATAGAACTCATGTGTGTATTGTTTTCCCCCTCCTGTTTAGACCAAGGAGGCTGCCGTAACTCCGCGCCGGAGTCCAAGGGTGAGTATGAAGCAGCACCTAATAATGTTGTGCGTTTAACAAGGGCCCCAACCCCCTTAGGCAGCGGCTTCTAGAGTGGAGCTGATGTGGGTGAGGGGCGCTCTGGGTCTTCTGTCCTTTTTTTGGACTTTTCCGATTTTGGGGGGCTTGGTAAAATGCAGCTTGCTTCAGATCTGTCAGCCTTCTGAACTGGCTGGCGGGCCCGTGTACTGCGTTCACCGCTCTTTAATGCAGAATGGAACCTTATTTCGTACTGAAAGGGTTTCCTGTCTGCTCTCCGACAGATCTCCTTGAAAGAAGACAAGGAGAACATCCCTCTGGCAGTGGCTCCAAGCGGAAGCCCTGGTGGAAGTGCAACCAAGCCGGAGCGTGAGCGCTCCCCCCCGCAGCGCTCCTTGGATGCCGAGCCAGGCGTGCCCCCCAGAGGGGCCGTCGCCCTGTTCCCGGCCGGTCCCGGCACACATGCCTCCCTGCCGGACGACGAGCGGGACCTGGCCATGGCGAAGAGGGTGCGGCGGTCCTACAGCCGCTCGGAGGCCTCCCTGAGCCAGAGTTTCCAGGAGAGGCTGGGCTCCCCCGGCTCCGGTCTCTCCGACAGCTCCACCCCCAACCACGCACCAGGCAAGCGACAAACTCTCTTCGGGTTCGAGAAGCTCCTGATCCCGGGCGTGCTGGCCAGCATGTCTCCCGTGAACGCAAGCGTCACCCAGAAGTCGCCCACCGGAGCAACGGAACCCGGCCCCCTTCACGAGCCAGACACAGACATCCCGGGAATTTCTTTTGTCAAAGAAAAACGGCGGAAGAAGAAGGTGCCGCAGTTCGATGTGAGTCCCACACGGAGCGGCGGTGGGGGAAGCATTGGCCATCAAGGGAGCAGCAGGGAAGCTCTGGGGTGTCTCGAGACCGAGCTCCCCCCCTGCCACAAATCCACTAGTCAGCCCCCCCCCCCCCGCCTTTCCTCCTCCTCCCCTCCTTGCTCCAGCCGAAAGATTAAGCTGGAAATCACTGACCGAATGGGTAAGGTCGTTCTCAGCCGAATGCACGTGAGCCGCTCTGAGCTCCTCTAGCAGGCCGTGCAAATGCGAAGCGTTGTGCCACGGACCTCGCCCTGCCACCCCGTGAGCTGTGGGGAGGTGCCAAAGCTTTGTGGCAAGGCCAGTGGCAACCGGTCAGCCCTCCGAAGCAGCAGACTAAGTCCCCGCGGTGCTGTCCAAGTGACCGTTTTGGACCCTCTCGCCTTCCCTCCTGTGCGCAGCGCTTGGTTGTCCAGAATTTGCTCCAGAGATAAATCGGTGCTGCTGCTTGCAGCAAAGAAGAGAGGGTTGGGGAGACCCAAGGACAGGAGGAGGAGGAGGAGGAGGAGGTGGTAGAAGATGTGGATCCAGAAGAAGAAGAGGCTGCAAGCGTGTGCTCTCTCAGAGGCAGAAGTGGTGCCAGCTCCATGAATAGATAGGAAGTCATTAGTATGCGTGTTTTGTTTAGAAGCAAGCGTCTAGCCCTCATGGCTGCCAAGCACGTGCGTGGGCACTGCTTCCCAAGATAGCAAGAGTGGGTGTGTCTGCGGTGAGCAGAGCCCTCGGTAGCCAGTGGTCTGCATCATCGCTCTTTGGGCAAATGCATTTAATTTGCAAAATCCCCAGGTTGCCAAGGGTACTCTGTGTTTTGATCTGCAAACGGGAGTCGTACTTTTAGCACTGCCTCTTTTCCTGCCTTTTCAGAAATCGGAGCTGGACGAATGGGCAGCTCAGATGAACGCGGAGTTTGAAGAAGCGGAGCGATTCGACCTCCTTGTGGAGTGAAGGGGCCCTGTCCCACCGCCGTGCAGGGTGTCCGTTCACTGTGCGCTGTGTCTGTAGCCTGGTGTCCGCCGGGGGGCGCTCCTCCATTCCCCATGCGGAAAGCAGTAAATTGCTTTGCTTTTGGATGTACTTAGTAGCAGAAGGCATCTATCTATTCCCTTTACTGGCGATTGTGAAACTGGTGGGAGGTTCAGGGATGAGCTTGTCTGGGGCTGACAGTCTTTGTGGGGGGCCGAGGCGTTGGGGAAACGCCTCGTGCTAATTGCCACACAGCCATTCGGGGGTGTCTTGCCTGCTGATGATGCAAAGCGGTGTCAGTTGCGGTTTCGCGGTCTTTTTCTCTTTGAGGAGCCTTAGCTAAGCGTTTTGTCTTTCCTGCATAGGTGGCAGAAAAAGAAGCGCTTGACTTTTGGAAATGTGTGCTGATGTATAAATAGGCCTTTTTTTTTTTTTTGTCGTCACTGACTGTTTTCTATCAAGCAGATTCTTCTAAAAATATGTTGGGGTGGTTTCTTAGAGTAACTTTTTCCTAGTTGGGATGCAAAACAGGTCACTTACTAATTTGCTCATTCTGATAAACTGCTTCCTTGTATTTCTGAACCAGCGGGATTCTCTCGTTGCTTTTCCATGGATGCATTTCTCAAGCGTGTGGAATATTTTAAGCCACCTTGTCAGGGCTATGTGCCCTGAAAGTCGGGTTAAGTATCTTTTAAATAAAATAGTGTATATGCATAAGAATAAAAATAAAACTTTAAAAGGCTTCCCTTCCTCTAATTAAGAATGTAGGAAAGTACTACAGATCAAGACTGTCTCAAGGTGCTGGAAAGTTAACGCTCTTATTTTCCAAAAAGCTCAACCTAATTTGATCGCAGGATTCCTTGAGGGGTCTTCAGAGACTATGAAAAGAATGACGGGGTCACGCTGGATTATCTGAGCAGCACCTTTTTCTGTGTAGTTAACTGACCGGACCGGGTTGTGGAGCAGCGAATCTCGACAAGAAAGTGAGTTGGACAGTGCACGCGTCTCGGGGAAGGCAGGCATCAAATGACCCCACCACCCTTGTGAGGGCAGCTGACACGCCGCGCTTGCGATGTGTTCACTGGTTGAAACACGGGTGGGAGAAACGTGTCGCAGTTCCGTGGCCCCCACGCAGATCAGGCACGCTTCCACTGGACGGGCCGATGGGAGCGTCCAGCTGTGCGGCCGTGATTGGATTGACGTGCTCTTGGTCCCCCTCCAGGTAGAGCTGCCTCGAGGCCCCAAACTCGACAGGCAGCCTGCTGTGCTTCTACACCTCCCCTTGTTTGTGTGGTGTGTAAGGAGGAGGGATGCACTAGGAATGCTGCTCTTGCCTCACAAACCGTGCACAACGGCTCCGAATTTGTGAAGCGGATCGTGGCGATCCGTTGAGATGGAGCCATCCAACCTGGCATCCCGCACTGCCGCTCTCGTCCACGCAGGACTCTGGTGTGCCCTAGTGAGGAACCTGTGCCGGCTTACGATTGCAAATGCACGCGCTTCCTTTTGGTAATTAAACGGCCTGTTTACAGAATAGCATGATGGGAAAGGAGCATCTCCTTCCGCAGCCGGGGAACTGCCTGTGCACCCATCAGCGTGGTGAAGACCACCAACCCCGATTCCCCGCTGCCACAAGCCAGCTTCGGAGTAGCTGGAGGGAGGTCAGCTGAAAATGAGCTGACAAGTGCCAGGATGTAGCCTTGGAAGAACTCCTAGTGGTTAATTCCCTGGTATCAAAGTTGCTGGGCGGGGCTGCATCCATGGATGGAGCGGAGTGTCGGGGGGGCAGGAATCGCGCCTGCAGTGGGGCACCGGTGGCTGCCGTCATCCCCCCACTGATTCGGTCCGCCCAGGCGTTTGCTCCAGTGGAATTCCTGCCGTTAGAGAGCGGCAGCCACGTGGCCAGGCCATGCGTGACCTTGCCCGTCTCCTGTCTTACTGCAGCGTGGCCTGAGCCATCGATCCGTGGGGCGGGGAGACCGGCTGCTAGCCGGAGGAGCTCTGGGCTGCCTCCACGGGCATGTGAGAGGCCGGGGGGGGGGCAGCGCCGGCCCCTCGAGGACCTAAGAACGGTGCCTTCCAGGCACTGCGTGGCCCGACCCACAAGGGCCGCTGTGCAGACACCTGCCCACAAAGCATGGCTAAACATAGTTGAGTCGCAGGAGTGCGTTCTGTCTTTTTTCCATGTGCCAGCGTGGGTCGATATTCCGTTTTTTAATGGTGCGCTCGAGCAGCGGCTAGGAAAAGTGCTCTCGGGGATATGCGCTTATGTAAAAGTCCCGTGGGGGCTTGATTTCCGCCTCAGTCTCACGTCCACGGCAGTTTCCAACCCAGCGTTCCACGGCGCTGCCTCTCGCTCTGCAAACGAGAACATGTGGGGGGGGGGTTGTTTTCCGCATGAACGGCCGTTCACTGCGGCTGCCCTTTGGCGCATCTTGGCAGGAACCTGCAAAGCGCAGCACTAAGCAGCGTGGTACAATGGTTAGAGTGCTGGACTCGAGAGATTCCGGCTCTGCTTCCCGCTACCTTGCAGTGTGGATAAAATGGGCAAGCCGGGGTGAGAGTGCTGTTGCAGCCGAGGCCGCTGCCTCCGCTGGGGGGACAGATCTCTGGGCCCAGTCCAATGGGATCATCTCTCTCTATTTCACTGTGCCCCTGAAAGTGCCTAGAACTGCGGCAGGATTGGGCCCACTTGCTTCACAAGGTCCCTCGGCCTCCGCAAGCGCCTGCTGTGCATACAGGAGCTGCGTTGTGCCTGCAGGTAAACGATCAGGCAGCCGGCGATGCGCAGGTTGGTTCTCAGGGAAACAGCTTGTCGGCTGAGAAAAGGCGGGTTCTGAGGGAGAGCACGTTGGACCGGGGACACAGCAGCAGCCCAGGCTCTGGGGGACGTGTGAGCACTGAGGTCCAGCCCCGGAGACGCTTATTTCCCTTGGGTCTGTTCATGGACAGGTGCGCCTTCCATTCCAGGGATGAGGAGTCGGTGCATCTCTGGCCAATTTCAGATCAGCAAGTGCTGTTTTAACCTCCTTTCCCGACAGCAGCAGCAAAAAGGCCTTTGAACGGAGGCGCCCTTGGCCGTGACCAGGAGTGCCTTGTGGATCCCTTCCAGTCCTGGCTGTGAGCAAGGGAGCGGACCGGGCTCAGTCCCACGGAGGCGGTGAAAGGCGGGGGAGCAGTGGCCACGGAGGAGGCGCTCCCTGGCGCTCTGCCGGCCGAGCAACGAAGGGAAAGGGGGGAGAGCACAAGGGGCTGGCGGCTGCCAGGGAGAAGGCGGGCGCCGTGTGGCCAAGGGCTGCCTGGGTGAAAGGGGCCCCCGACCCAGAGCTGGTGCTGCCCGCGTGTAGGGTTGGCAGATTCCCGAGGAGGTCAGCTCCTTGCTCGGGGTGCCAGAGTGGGGGGTGGGGAGGGGGGGCCGATGGTGCGCAGGCTCGGCCCGCTCGGATGCTCCGCTGCCCATCGTATCGACAGCTCCCCTTTCTGCTCCACTGAGCCGGTCCGCACGGTTAAATAGACGTGGCGGGAGGGTGGAGGGCCAGTGGCACACGGACGCAGTGCCGCTGCAGGCTGCCCGGCATGAGCGCCTCGGCCATCCGGCGAAAGTCCTACAAGAAAGCCCAGGAGGACGCCGGGCCGTTCTCCCCGGTGCACTGGGAGGCGGACCGGAGTGGCGCGGGCGGAGAGGTGCCCCCTGGGAAGCTGCAGGTGATGGAGAAGTTCTTCACGCCCGTCCGGCGGGCCAAGGAGAGGAAAGGCGCCTCGGAGCCGGCCCTGCAGGACTGCCGCTGCCGCCCGCCGTGGACGGAGAGCCGGAGCGACCGCTTCTCCACGCTCTCGTCCTCGGCGTCTCCCTCAGCCTCCAGCTCCTCGGCGTCGTGGTCCTCGGAGGCCAGCCTCGAGAAGGAGGCGTTCCTGCGCGGCGGCCCTCGCTTCCGCCCCGTGCACTCACAGTCCTGCGTGGATGTCGCGGGGGAGGCCGGCCGGGCGGGAGAGGCGGGCGGCTCCTCGGCCTGGCTGAGGAAGGGCTACAGCAGGAGCGCCGACCGGCTGCACCGGCACGCCCCGGGGCCCCGCGAGCTTCCCTCCCCGCCGGGCCGGGCAGACGGCGTCGACCGGCCCCTCTGCAAGGCGACTGGCCTGGAGCGCAGCCTCGTGCTGAGCGAAGAGGCGGGGGCCCTGGCCCCCCGGCAGCCCCACCCGGCCAGGGCGCCGGCCCCCAGCAAGGGCATCCTGAAGAGCGGCGCGGCCGCGGCGGGCGAGCAGCTGCGGAAGGCCAAGTCCATTGAGACCATCACGGTCCGAGCCACGGGGAGGGAGCCTCGGCCGGGGGCCGGGCCCGGGGCCCCCAGGCCGCTGCAGCGGGAGCGGCAGCCGCCGAACAGCCTGGATTTGAGCGCCCCCAGGAAGCCGCCCATGGCGGAGCGGATGAAGCTGGTGGAGGAGAAGCTGCGCTTCTCGGAGTTCCTCAACGAGATCACCCGGCAGGTCATGAGCCCCTCCAGCCTCACCTCTCTGGGCTGGAAGCCCCCCGAGGCCGCTGTGGCCAGCCAGGCCCGCAGCACCGACGGGTCGGACTCCAAGGGCTCCAGCAGCAAGGCCAGCTCCCCCGGGTCCCTCCTGGACGTGGCGGAGGGGAGGGGGAAGGAGGAGACGGCCGCCCAGGGCGGGAGGAAGGGAGTGGGGCAGCTGGAAGCCGAGGGGGAGGCCGTCCCCGCCAGCTGCCCCCCTCGCGGCCCAGCCGGGGCTGCGGACGAGGCCGGCGGCGATCCCGAGCGGGCCCCCATGGCGCGTCTGCCAGCCAGCCTGGGGAGCTTGCCCAGGCTGTCGGGAGAGGCCGGCAAGGTGCACCGGAAGCACGGAGAAGCCAAAGCGAAGCACGGCGTGGAGGCCGGAGGCCACGGGCCCCCGCCTGCCCAGGCGGAGAGGGAGGCCGCGGGGATCGCAGCGGAACCGCAGGGCAAAGCGCATCAGGAGGGGGCGGCTGCCGTCGCCGGGCCGCATGCTGAGGTACGGTGCCTGCGCCCCGGCCTTTGGGCTGCGGAGCGCCCTTCCGCACCGGTCGCATCCCGCGGCCTTCAGCGGCTCGTGGCGGGCGGGCTGAGTCATGCACCCCCTTCTCCGGGTTGCCGGTCTCTGTCTACTCTCTCTCGGTGGTGGATGCACTCTGCACATGCATGAAGAGCACCTTTCCATAGATTTCCACGTCCATCTCTGGGACGCGAAGCACGTTCTTGGGTGTGGTGATGCCTGTGTTTTGTCCTGGGGACACAAGATGACACAAGATCTCTGGGGTGGGGTGGGGTGGGGTGGGGGGTCTCCCAGACTTCATTTTTGAAGGGACCTAAATTTTCTGGCCGTGATTCACTGGGAAACGGAGGAGGCGTTGGAACTTGGCTCTCCGGATATTGCGGCTTTTTTTCCAAGGATGCAAGTGGGTTTTACTGGCATTTGAAGTTCGAATCCCCAAACTCGAGTTTGGGAAAGGAGGAAGCAGTTTGTGGCATAGCCAGAGGGGCGGGGGCAAAGGGGCCAGGCTCACCTCCCACCTCTTCTCGGTCTGACCCCCACCCGTAAGTTGGTAAGTCGTAGCGGCACAAAAGCTGTGCAGGCAGAAACCTGACCCCCCACTGAGGGCATGGGGGGGGGGCAGTTAGCGAGCTCTGCAGAGGGGCACCCCAAATCCTTGCTGGTGGGACTGGCGGGCGGCAGGCACTGGCCCCCGCTTCTCCCCGCTGTTCCGTGC